GTGATTTTTTATATTTGTAAATGCAGTTACTTGAATTTTTTTATGATGGAGAATGAAGCATCCACAAAAGAAGTAGACCTGGTTCTGATTAAGCAAGGAGCTGAGGCAGTAAGTTTGAAAATTGTTTATTGTGCTCCCAGTTTAGCTTTCTACAAGCACCTTTCATGTATTTATGCAAGATTCCTCTTCATTGATATCCTAATTTCTTTTAATTTCAGAGAGTATTTGAGTCTAAATTTGTAGGCAGGAGATCAGTTGTCAAGGAACGATTTTCAAAGAAGTATCGACATCCAACTTTGGACTTGAAACTTACTCTAAAACGCTTAAATGCGGTTGGTGTATTTACTTATTCCATTACTCACATGATTGCTTGAATTTTATTTACTTATTGTTCTCTTAATAAGATCTGAACATATTGAACAGGAGGCTAGATGTATGACAAAAGCTAGAAGACTAGGTGTTGCTACTCCTGTACTTTATGCTGTTGATCCTGTTCTGCACTCCCTGACTTTTGAGTATGTAGAAGGGCCATCTGTGAAAGATATCCTCCTTGGTTTTGGTTCTAGGGGTATTGATGAAGAAAGGATGGCTGACATTGCATTTCAGATAGGTTATGCAATTGGCAAAATACATGATGGTGGACTCATCCATGGTGATTTGACGACATCAAACATGTTAATACGCAGTGGTACCAATCAGCTGGTTCGTTTTCCACTTGCACTTTATTTGCTTGAAGTTTTGTATATGTCTATTGCAGATATCGACCGGCACTTGCCAAGTCATCGGTCAATTATCTAGTGGTAATTATGTTGATAATTGATCATTGCAAGTTGACTGTTGGTACAATATGTTGTACTACGTAATATTTAAGGAATTGTTTGCCAGTATAGTTTATGGAGTCATGCTATTGCTCATTTGCACGTTCTTTTTCTATAGAGTTGGTGAGTTGAAGTTATCCTTATTGTCATTGAATGATCAACACCATTTCTTCTACAGGTACTCATTGACTTTGGTTTAAGCTTTACATCAACACTTCCAGAAGATAAAGCAGTTGATTTATATGTACTAGAACGTGCATTGCTTTCTATGCACTCTTCATGTGGAAATGTGGTGAGCTGGATCATCCTCTACTATAGAGTTTGTTTATTTTTGAGTATTATCATATGCATGATTAATGAGCTTCATGGTTAACATAAATCACACAGTTTTAATTCACAATTATTCGGCCATTTGAAAAACATTGTTTGATCTTTTGTGCTATCTTTATAAACCACAACGCCTTTATATAAAAAAAATACTCTATAAGTGTCGATCTCCTCAATATATGAAAGGTTATGTTAATGGTATATTAGTATATTATTATTGTGGCTTTTCAAAGGCTGGGTTGTTGATGTTATAGAAGCAAAGTATCTGTTTTATGTACAATGTGAAATTGTGAATAGATGGATCGGACACTTGCCGCATACAGGAAGTCCTCTAAACAGTGGTCATCTACTCTAAACAAGCTTGCACAAGGTTTTGTAATCCCTTATGCTTTATTCATGTTCTCTTCTTCTGTAATCCCCTGTGATGAAGCATTAAGATATTATTTCAATGACTTTTATTCTTTAATTATAATACATCTCTCTATATGTGATTCTTTCATAATTTCAGTTCGCCAAAGAGGTAGAAAGCGTACCATGATTGGCTGAGCTTCCATGCTATTCTATTCTACATCATGGTTAGGTTTTGGCTTGTATGATGTGCTTTAAGGTGCATGCCTTGCTTGGGTATTAATGTTTAACTGTGTTGTTGGATTGACTAAATGATAGTTTAGCTAATTGTAAAGAAATCTTTTCCAAATTAGGAATAGGAATAGTGTGGTTTGTAAAGGACATACGTATGTAGCTTGAACATGAGCATTTTCAGAACAGAAAAATATCTAGACAGAAACATCTTTCTATCAGAGAGGCTTTTAAAATAAAGCTCATGAAGAGGTTAAACAATTTGAAGAAGAGGTTGCTGAGTCAGTAGAGTAATTGATCAGAAGGGTATTTGGTCCACAGTGATAATGGGGGTACCAAGCAATAGCTTGTAAAGTTTCTTATATATGGATCCCGTTCAATGGCTAACATAGTTGTTAGTGAAATGAATCAAAACCTATCAAATAAATGGGAACTACGTTGGGAAAGATGCGTGAATAACAAGAGCGGTGTAGGAATCAGCAGTCTAATTAATTATCATCCAAAACTTATTATTAATATATGAAGTAAGCAATGTTTCTAATTTTTTTCATCACTGTTGTGAGGGGTTATAGGAAAAAGTATTTCGGGCAACTTATGTAATTATCAAAATAAGAACATGTTTATATAAAAAAATTCAATGGTCATTTGGGAATAAATGCTTACAGCCTACAGTGTTTAATTCTAGGCAGTCTTGTAGAAACTCTCACTGCCAATTCTCATTGCACAACACGGCCAGTAGTTTATTAACATGTGTCTACCCTTGTTTCTGTAGAATTCCAAACACTAATCCAATTAATTTGATTGTAGTTGTCCTCAATTTTCAGTTATTTCTGGATACTTTTCAAGATCTTATAGAAAGTGGGTATTGTTAAGGAAAGATTATCACTTTGTTGGATGCACATGCTTGAAGATCTGAAGGAAATTTGATCAAGTTAAACCCACTGGATGGTTAGGACATATCACATTAAGATTGATGATTTGAGTGACTTTCCGAATAGTTATGTAGTCTACATGTGGAGATTTAAAGACGCTAATATGGTAATAGTTTTTTAGAGATCGTATGTATCATTTTCATTGTTTCAAGGGTTCCCCATTCGAATAATTAAATCATGGTACCTAGTTTTTGTTTAGTTTTGCTTTTGTTTTTACCGAGGCAATGCTGCAGAGGGTCTGTGAAATGTTATAGAAGACATAAGTTGACCCAGTCTAGAGTCGAGTTTAAAATAGAGACTAAGAGAAAATGGCACACACCATGAATGTGGTGACATAGGCAAGCTAGCACATTTTTTTCTCCACATAATACTCACTTCCTTATATGTTGGAAAGTTTTTATTTTATTCTTTTAATAAGACATACGTCATATTTTAGTGGTAAAACATACTTGGTCCCTTCCAAGGCGCTAGGCGCTAGTCGGGTGCCAGTCCAATGCCTAGGCGGCTAGGCGGGGACACATAAATTGTATTTTTATCAATATTTTTGCATAAATATGATAAATAATACATAGTAAACCCGCAGTATCGTGTTTGTGTGTGCATGAAAAATATATACACGTGCATTAGCAGGCATTAATGATAGAATTGTCAAATGCAATAATACTTCGTATATGATAACTAATCACTTAACTGCATTATGTTATTATAAATATTAAATAATTATAAAATGGATAAAATTTAAGTAAATATACAGAAAAATATATGTCGTAGTTTTTATCTTAATATACAAGTATTTTTCTTCATATTTGTGATTAAAGTTGAAAGTACATATAAAAAGTTGAAATATATATGCCGTATATTAAGATAAAAACTATTTGTATTAAAGTTTAAAGTATACTACATTTTCTGATTCAAGGTATTGCACTTTTCTATTTCATATAGGCATGGACCCGGTTCTCGGGTCCGGGTCCGGGTCGGGCCTAGGCCCGGTGGAGGGGGCGAGTCCGGGCTCGGGCCTTGTATTTTGCGAACCGGCCCGGGCCCGGGCCGAATTGATTTTTTTTTCATTTTTTGGGGTTAGCTGGGTTGGGCTTGATGGTTAGGAGGGTTTTGGGGGTGGGGGTGAGTGGGGGGGTTAGGAAAGCAAAAAACAAAAAAAAATTATGACCGAACCGGAGGCCTGGCCCGGACTCGGACCGGACCCGGTGGCTACCCGGTCCGGTCCGGTCCCGGGCCTTCCCGAAAAAAAAAAGCCCGGCCGGGCCCGGCCCGGCCCGGGTCCATGACTAATTTCATATCATCACGCACACTTCTCAAATCTAACACACCTTATTCAATTTTATTTCCCTCTTTATATCACGTTCTCATTTGATAAAAAATTATGTGTGATATATAATCAAACCATATAGAAGTATAGAACTGACCAGATCTGATCACATATATGCCAAACCAAACCCATGTTTGAAATGATTCCTAATCCCATTTCAACTTTCTTTCCTCGAGATGAGTTCAAGTCCGATTAAAAACCAACCAATTTTGATTTGGTTCCAGAACCTTGTCCTAGTCATGGACTGAACCGGGCCTGGTTCAGGGTTGGGCCTAGGCCTGGCCGGGCCCAAAAAAAAATTGTGAGAACCGAGACCGGCCCGGTAGTTGACCGGTGCCGGTCCGGGCCCGGGTTGGGTTGGGTCCGTTTTTTTTTTTTTTTTGTTGTTTTCTTGATTATTTTATCCCCTACCCCCATCTCCCCATCCCACAAACCTATTTAAAACACCCATTGCAACCCATTGAAACCCAGCACAAAGCCCCAAACAAAAAAAAAAAACAAAAAAAATTGAAAAGGCCCGAACCGGGCCCGGAACCGGCCGGGCCGGTTCTCAATTCCCTAAGCCCGTACCCGCCCCCGGTTTCCCATTCAAACTGCGCCTAGACCCGGTTCCGGTACCCGGTTCCCGGGCCGGGCCGGGCCCAAATAGTGCCGGGCCGGGCCGGGTGGCCCGAACCGGGTCCAAGCCTACCTTGTCCCCTCCGAGCTAACGTAATAAGAGTAGAGAAAGATCTAATCAAGACCAGCCGATTCCAATTTCAAGAATACACAGATTCAAGTTTTGGCTTTGGACTTTGGAGTCGTTCTAGACTTGTTTGAATACTTGAGCCTAGTTTTCTAAAAAAGAATAAAAATGAGCGCTTAACAAGTTTCAAACGGTACTCAAAATATTGATTCGGGTCTAGAAACTGACAAGGCGGGTGCCCGCCTTCAGGGTTTTACCACCTCTAAATAGTATTCAAAGACCTTACAAGCAAATTTGCACCTTTATAATTTCTAAGTATAAATGGCTTAATAAATTAAACAGCTGTTTCGTTTGCTTTGCATGACCATCAAACATTTATTACATGCACCATTGTATCGCCTATCACATATATTGGACAGAATGTTTCAATTCGATTAGGTAGAACTAACTATGCTATACAAAGAAAAGAGGGTATCAATGTTCTATTGCACCCAATTTTTGCTGGACTTCCTCTAGGAATGCAAAAACGAAATAAACCAGGAAGGAGTAAAAAAAATTACGGGTATATAAAAAACAACAAGGCCTCATATGTTTACTTAGGTGGAAAATTTACAAATATCTTGTCATCAGCAGATTCCAAAATAACTTTCAATGACAAATAAGCATATGTAGGTATGCATATGACTCGCGTATATGAATAATATATTTACAGTCTGGCTTGTTCTGCTCCAGCATTCCCACTTTCAATGTCAACTGGATGGTGGTCACTTTGAGGTGTGAGATTGGATTCTGAAGCCCGATCGGGCCTCTGAGAAGGTTGTTGATCCGACGAAAACTGCAACCTCATCCACTTTGTAAGTTCGTAGAGGATTGACGTTCCACACATTACCCCACCAAAACCCGCAAATGACGCCAGAAGAACAGATAAAACTGCTTGGATGTGGAGCTGTAGATCCAGCATGGGGAGGGGGGTTGCATTATATTAACCCAAAGGTTTCATAACTAAGACACCAGCAAAATGTTTTCTAGATTTTCTCGTGTTTTATCTAAAACTGATATATTTAAGCTGTTTGTTCAGACTCTTGTTTTCTTCTATATCTATTATAGTATAATGTGCCTTATTCTTCTGGTTCTGTTTGAAAACCTGTTTTTCATATCTTTTTCTTTCCAAAACAAAAACTGATTTAGTCATTTTAAGCCAAACAACTCTTACCAAGAGGGCTCAAAGACGAATACAAATTTTATCAACGCTAATCATATTTCATTTCCTCGGCATTTTTCTCCTTTTCCATGGCATTTTCCAGGACACAAACACATCCTTGAAGAAAATAATTTTTGTGAATCTTGAACTTTGTGAAAAGTTCATGAAGCAGCATGACTTGTTCTGTCTTTGTTAATAAAAAAAAGTATTTATTTATACCTGAAGAAGGATTTTTTTTTTAGCAAAACACATACTCCATAAGTGACCCGTTTTCCCATTTGACATAATTATATTTTCATCAAACGGAACCTTTAAGAACGTTCCTTCAATGTTATTAATCAGAATTAACAAGTGAATTGCGTGTAATTTTCAAATTCAACACAGCTTACCAGTGAATAGAAAATGTGCGCGAAAAGAACCACCAAAACAAACTGACTTGTAGCAAACACCCACACATATTTCCGCCTCACTGAAAACAAAGAATCAAAATCAAAAGAGGTCGGGACATATTTCACAATATTCATCGAAGAAGGTTGGGAAAAAATCAAATACCCATAGTAGTGGATGTCATGGATGCAAGGAGACCCAATATGCATGAAAATGGAAGAGATATTGCAATGGCACCAGACCCCATTTTAGCAACCTACATACAAATGTGTTATGAATCATTGTAAGTCGCACCAAATTTATTTGGAGTGTGCCAAGAACTATTTAATAAGCGTTTAACATTGATTATCATGTTATGTGATTCAAAGGTTCATTAATAGGTGTTTGGCATTGGCTATTGCAATGGCACCAAACTCCTCTATTCACTATTACTTGATCTCCTTTCCTTTGACGGAAGTTTATTACTACTTGCTCTACTTTACATTTTTGAAATTTTTCCTACTTTTTAAATCCCTTGAAGACATAAATAGTAAATACCCTTACTTTTTCAATTCCTCTCCTACTTTTTCCTTTTTCCTACTTTTACTCTTATTTACCACTCTACAACTTTATTATTCTTAATTTCAGTGAAAAACTACTAGAAAAAATAAAAGTGCACGGATGGAGTAGCTAAATACACTGTCTCGAGTCTCTTGACATACCAAAAGTTGCTCTAGGAAGCAGAAGTAGGCAAGCATGCTGACAATAACAAGAATAGGAACATCCTGCCAAATCCTGTAGAGTTTCCAACATCCCCAAAGTAAATTTTAATGGAGATGAACTTGAGCTACTTACAGAAAACAGATCAAACGCTAACGGAACAAATCGGTGTATCAATTGTAGTTAAAATAAATAACAGAGTAGAAGTTCCCAACACTTGCCTATATTGAAGAATAGCAGCCTGTGCCACTCCAAACCCTGATAAGTTGTTTTGAATCTTTAGAAGCGTGACGGGCAAATTCTTAACCTCTTGCCGGCATACATCACAGATTTTGTTCCCTTTTATGCTAAACCACTTCACAGCACACTCCTTGTGGGCTAGGGCTAGTTCACCTTTGCAACTACATTCCATCTTTAGGGTGTCCGTACCCTCCCCAAGCTCAACCATACATATTCTGCATACTGCATCTTCTTGAGTGATGTCTTCACCCAAATTCTCGTTTCCATCTGAATGAATAGACCAAAAGGCAAAGAGTTCAAATAGTAGAACCCGAATAGATGCTATTTGTTATGCCACCCTTGATCAACAAAGTTAGCTTCTTTTGCTCAAATATGGTGTTTTTTCGGGACAACAAAAAGTTATGAATTGGGATATATTCTTTATCCCAATTTAATTTTTCAAAATAAGTGCTCAAACAAGTGAAGTGTGCGTAATGTAGTTTTAAAATCATATACTTTAAATATATAAGCGGGATGGATAATTCCAAGAAGTTGTACCTTCCTACAATTGAAAAGTTGTGCATTCATGAACCATGAATCGGTACTTGGACGGAGCAAGTACAATTATACACTCTTACAGTCTTACCCTTATTATTATACTATAAACAAAGAGATGCTCTCGATCCCCAAGGGTCCCGAAAAACCAGCACAATATTTTGCTTAGATGGTTAGAGTGTGGGGGGTCTACACTTAGTGCTTACAGGACCCCTTGCTGAGCAAGTTGCCCCTGGCGAGGCTGGCGTAGTTGATAGGAATCAAACCAGGATTTTCATCTTTTAGATCACACTATCAACCAGTTGAGCAACCAGACCAACCCCACCGACTTGCCTTTATTTGTATCATAGCACTTGGCTCTAAAAGTCATCATCCAAAGCTTATTGGAATTTTTGGAAACGAAGTACGTAGTATTTCATAGGAGTGAATGGTAAATTGGCCATAAAAACATATACTACCTAAAGTTTCTAAACTGACATATTCCAAAAGATAAAAGAAAAGTAAACAAATTCCCTATAATATGAAATGGAAAGAGTAACATAGAGGAAGTGCCTATACCATCAGCTGGAGCACCTTTAGCTGTAGTTATAGACTGGGCTGTAACTTGAGGGCTAGTTGAGGGAATGACACGATATAGGCTCCCTATATGTCCTTGTCTTGAGCTTCCATCTTTGTTTAAATCAGGAACTGAGTGTGATCTGTGTATTGGGTACTCCATACCCACTTTCTATTCGCCAGTTAACAATATAAGCATTAAGTTAGAGCTCATACAATGTACAGAAGTTGACCAAATAAATGAATGAATCAATTTTTAGGTTAGAATACTCACAGTTGAAGAACTTCCTCCATGGGTTGATTCAGGATTTGAGTGTGCAATTGGACTTACAGGCAATGATGATGTTCTTTTCAGTCGTTGATTGAAAATCTTAGTTACAGAGAGTTGGCTAAATAGAGAAGGTTTCTCTTGTCTCACCGGGGACCCACCAAGAGCTAGGATAGCAGCCCTTTCAATGTCTAGTGTTGTGTTCCGGAATTTGAAGTTTATTTTAGGAATAAAATTTTTCATCAATGATTTACCCCTAGATGATGGACCTGGAGACCCATCTGTTTTATCATGGCAAGGGCTCGGTAAAGGAGAAAAGTTCACTCTTTTTGGATTTGGTGATAGGGGTATAGGTGACCTCAAAGAATTTTCTGATGCTTCCTCAACCGATCTTTTGGGTATCTCCAAAATGAAGTTTTTCCTCTTCTCATTCAGATTTAGAGACTGCTCCTCCATGATTTCACTCGATTCATTTACCTACATAGACATTCAAGAATATAATGAATTTACTAGCTCATGAGCTAAAAACAACATCATCATCTATAGTAAAGAGTTGTCATATCGATGGAATCAACTCAGCATCACGAATCTCTACATCATGTCAGGGTGCATACAGAACTCACAAAATGCTTGAGGAAGACAATATGGATGGAAAGAGAAAAGATAACTGGAAGGAAACAAATTTAAAACAATAAAAGCTCAACACTTGGCAGAATTATATTTTTTTATATTGTTAAAGCCAGTTTTATTTATTTAACTCGGGTCATATAAAGTTAAAATTATATATATGTGTGTGAGTGTGTGTTATTTAAAAAAATTGTAGATCATTTCCCTTCATTTCACAAGTAAAAGCAAACACGAGAAATTAAATTTCTTTAGCATTAGTTTTTGTTTTCCCACCCTTTTCTGGGGTCCAGACATACCCTAAACGCCAATTGACCTGCAAATTAATCAAGAACAGTACACGGGTAAGAGTTCTTCCCCTAACCAGACCTTGTGTAATTACACAGGAAGCTAAATTTCTTGTCAGTTAGCTGAATTGAGCTTTTCTGGATTAAACGAAGAGGCCCTAAACAAAAGAACAGAAAAATATCTCATACAGAGTAGTTTTTAATATACAATTCAGATTTAAAAAGATCTTGAAATTGGTGCCAACGAAACAGACTACCAAAAAGAGAAAAAGTAGCTAAATGCCCACCTAAAGCACTAGAACAGAAAAATCACACTTCATGAAACAAATAGCTTTAAACAAGAAAAGGGAAAGCCTAAACAAATACAGGTAGGTACAGGTTATGTGTCAAATAAAGTAACCAGCAAGAAATGGAAAAAGAGAAGTCGAAATTCAATTAATAAAAAATAAATAAAGTAATTCAGCAAGAACACATATCAAACAGAAAGGAGCATATGATGGATGGGTAAGGAGTCCAAAACAAAAAGAGCAAACAAAAGACACTTCTTTAAGACTAATAAAGCGCGGGCCAGAAAAGTGCCTTTCTAGGAGGAAAAGGTGGCGGTCCGGGAGAAGGAGGCGGCAGCGGCGGCGGAGCTGGTGTGGAGGAAGAGTCTTCAACATTCTGTTTGGCCAAAGATTGCTCCTTTACAGCATCCATGATCTCTTGACAGGATAAAGCAGAATGGTGAGCCAAACGATGCTTAAAGAAAGGGCGGTTTTGGCTGGAACTCCGGCTTTAGACGTCCATGGTTTTTATGGGTAGCAACTAACTCTCACACACACTGCAGGTACAGCAACTAAAGAAGTCCCAAGTTTTCGTCTTTTGTCGGTTTGGGTGTGTTGTCTTTAGTTATTTGGGTACTCCATCGACCATCCAGATGCAATCTCAACCATAATTTTATGGCGCAATTGCCCCACCCGATCCGAACACATTCTCTAGTTTAGTAATCCTTCCTAGACCTGTACGAAACGGACCCAGCTGGTCCCAAGCTGGGTTTTTGTGTTAATTTTGTCAGCACTTTGGCCTTTGGGGTTGTTAATTAACGAAAACATTTTCTGTTTTTTTTTTTCGAAAAACTGAAAGACAGAAAATGGAGCACATGTTTGATGTGATTCCTTTTCCCTTTTGGAAATGATGGTCAATCTTGCATGCAGGTTTGACATTTATCGGTTAACGGATAGCAGATTATGGGTCCGTTTGGTAACACATTAATCGGTCGGTAGTATCAGTTGATTCTACCAACATTTGTGAAATTCTAACTGAAGTAGCTCTATTGGCTGATTCTGCTGATTTGTGAAAAAAATTACTACGTAAGAAATATACTCCGTATTTTATTAATAAAATAAAGAAAAAATTATATGAAAAGTAGTTAAAATGGTCCTCTTCAGTAATTTCAGCCAATACAGCCAAAAAAGTAACTACAACCTTACTTTTTCTTATTATTACACAATTCAGCTTGCGAAACTAAAAGTTACATGTATGGTGAAAAATATGGCTGGTAAGCCTGAAAAGCCAAAAATCATGGTTACCAAATGGGCTCTACGTTAATGAGTTATCAATAGTGGATTTAGTCAACGAGTTTGACTAGCGAAATAAGTTGGCGAGTTGTGAAAAGATATTTGATAATTTATCTTTTTAGTAATAACAATTAGTAGAGAATGTCATATTTCAAAACGCTAATTCAAAATTATTTTATTTGAAGTATTTTCGTTTCAGTGATTCCTATTTAAAACGTTAGGATCGAACTACTATTTACCAAACAACGTTTTCACTTATCAATATTTGGTCCAATATTAGACAACGTTTTCACCTCTCATTAGAACTCCAAATCACTTCTTCAGATTGTACTCACACATGTTGCTTTATATTCCGATAGCAGAACTTGAAATATTCACTCTCGCTACATATAATGCCTTTTGCAATTCTTTATGCACTTATAATATTTTATTGTGCAATATTACTTGATATAGATTGCTTTGTTCGATGGTATAAGTCAAGTATTCACTCATGACATGCTTCTTTCCGTGTTTATTTTCCTCAACGTTGTTTAATACTTTTTATTTTGATTCTATGTGTTTACTAGTACGTGTAAAGAACATCCAAATTGAGTGTTTTTTATGAAGATGCCATTTCGGGGGTATTAACCAGTTTGATTTGGTTGTCATTAAATGGATAAATTCTAACGATTTAAAACACTTATTGGGCCATAACATATACTCCGTATAATTGAGTGTTACTATGTGTTGGAGTTATCGGTCACACAGTCACACCTAACAGTATTTTTTTTGCCGGGGAACATCCCACCTTTTATAAGTATGTATTATAAAACTTACAACTATTGTAGTAAATAAGATGAAGTGTTGGAAATTGGGATGTACTGGTAAAAGAAATCATATACTCCATACTTCATATCACATTTTACACAAAATATTATTAAGCATAACGTCCACGCCTTTTATCAAATTTGGAGGGTCGGGCATGTCCAATATTTTATCAAATCTAACCTCGTATCGAAACTATTTGAAGTGTTCGGTACAGTTTTATTTCTAGACGGTGTGACATCATGTCTTAACAATATCATCAATTCATGTCGTTATCAATTGTCTAGGAAAAAAAAAACATGTTCAACATAAAAAATTTCTACCCTTAAATATGCATCACATTTTAGCCATAATTCAAAATATCAATGTTCGATTTGACGTCTACTTTTCAAAGTAGAAATTATACATGCATAGGAGTTTAAGAATCTGTTTTTATTTTATAGTGTTAATGGCAAATCATTATATGGTTCAAATTTAAATATATAGAATTTATATGGGAAACAGATACTTTTTTAATGCATTGATAAGTACATAAAGTTAAACTAATGAAAGAAAAGTTATTGTTGGAAGAAACATATATAACTAATACTACATACAAGTTTTCTATTTATGTAATGAAACAAAGAAAAATTATAACAAGATATAAGGATCGGAAGAAGTTGGTTCATTCAAAAAAAAGGAGGAAGTTCGCGACATAGTTGAGACTTAGTTCAACCTTATGAAATCGACTTTCAACCCAATATAAGATTTTCTCTGAAAATAATCCAACATCATCTAATCTATACGGCCATAAATAAAAATTTTTTTCCTAAAATATTACTAATAGGAAAATCATGGACAAAAAGTAACTTCGTAACTTTTAGTGACTATAATTGTGTTCAAAGTTACTAATTTTAGTGACTACGATATCGACTTTGAACACAATTATACTCATTAAAAGTTAATAAGTCACATTTTTGTTCATCACTTTTCTAGAAGGAATATTAGTGGATTTTTTCTCTATAAATACTAATCAAATCAACTAACTATGTCAATAAGGTAAAAAGTATACTCATAAATAAAAGCGTAATCCTACATTCATTTAGCCTCCACCTTTTATCAGTTTTGTTTTTCAATTAATAAAATCATAAAGTCAAATTCATTTTTTCACGTAACGCTATAGATTTTTTAGGCCCCACATTAACACCTACTTCAGCTCATCATGTTGGGATCCATTTAGAGCCCCATTTTTCATCAGGGCCGTCTAATGAATTTTGAGACCCCACATTAATATAAAAAACAAAAAATATGTTCAATGTAAATTCTAATTATACTAAAATCAATTCAATACTCATTAAATAATGCAATTAAAGAATTACATGTAGTAATTTTCCCCTTTCAAATAATTAATCTCTACATTTTTTGTGAAGTGTTTCAATTTTTGTAATCTCTATGGAGTAGTGGAGTATGAATTTAGCTGCAACCCATATTCATATACGATAGTATACACTATACACTAGCGTCTTATAAATATTGGGGGCCCAATAAAAGTGAGGCCCTGTTCTGTCGAACCTAATTAACATGTTAAAAAACAGCCCTGTTTCTCACTTGGGTACCATATATATTGTAATAACACTTTTACAGAAATAATGAGTTTTTAATTCTTTATGTGTTTTATAATTGATCAAATACTCCCTCCATCCCGCTAAGATTGTCTCATTTTACCTTTTCAGGAAGTCCCACTAACATTGTCTCATGCCAAATTTGGTAAAGATTGTGTGGCTCTAAATCATTTTTACTTTATTCTTACTTTGGGTCCGTTTGCAATCAATTAAAAAAGGTGCTTTTAACTTTTTTTTAAGAAAAAAACACTTATTTTACCAAACACTACCAACTTTTACTTTCTCGGCTTCCGTGAAGAATCTACTTTTTACTTTTTCTATTACACAAAAAACACTTATTTTACCAAACACTACCAACTTTTACTGCTAATCACTTTTTCCTCAAAAGTGCTTTTATTTTAAGCACAAGTGATTGCAAACAAAGCCTTTATCAATTTAATATCAACCATACAAACTAACTTTTCTTGATAATCGTGACACCTTCTCTCGTCCCAAATGTTGTTCACAAACTATTTTAAAAAAAGAACATATTTTAAATCATTTACTACAAAGCACAGTTGTTCCTTGGTTATGCCAACACGGCCTAACTAGCAACCACAAACTATATGGTACACCCGCTTGGATTACTTTACAATTAGGTAAAAGTGTACTAGTAATTGTTTGTAAATTTCAGTCTAATTATTACATATTCACTTGAAGTCTCTATTTCCTCTTCGAAACGAAACAACCTCTCCACTTCTCCTTTCCATTTTTTTAAATTTTGTTTATTTCAATAATTATCAATTTCTATCCACAAATGTCTCTTTGAATTTTGGGAACATTAAAGAGAATGATAATTTGTTTAAAACATCTTCATCTCTTTATTTTCGCTAATAGTAATTATTTCGAGAATAGTAATCAACACTTTTCTTTTAAATAACTTCGTATCTCCTAGGTATGAATGCCCACCAAGGGTGCGAATATTTATTATTATTTACACTTTGAATATAGTATCAGCTTATTGTAAAACTTATTTTGCATAATAGTTCTTTGTTTTGAATATTTTTTCTTGGAGGTATTGGTCCTATCAAGGTCTCCCTTCTACTTTATTATTTATGCTTGCACCCCATGTTTACTCCCACTTTGATTCAATTCCCTGAGTTGAAATCACTCATTGGTGGCCTGTTGACTTATCTGGAGTATGTCCCATTGCTTCTGTCCGCTGCTCCCTTTTGATTGCCTTGGCTTATACCCGTGAGTGTCCTGTGACATACCCGTGAGTGTCCTTTGCCATCTTGTGACTGTCCTTGTTGTCTGCCCATAGGCTGGCAGCCTACTATAAGTCAACACTCCCCCCTTCTTTGTGAAATAAGCCTGCGAGAATACTCCTTGTGCAGTGTCTTCCTTCTTCCTTTCCCTTTGTGTGAGAGTTCCTTGATGGAGTGAAGAAGAGTGAGTAAACATGGGAGACGGAGTGGCCTAGCCCTAGAGTGGTGTGTGTGAGTTTAGTATAGAAGGTTGGAGACATGAGCCAGAGATGGAAACGATCCTTACAGTGGTATCAGAGCCGGAACCGCCGTCTGCCGCCGACCTCCGCCGCCCCACGCCGCCTTCGACTGTCAGACCTAGATTGTAGGTTACCGTACACCCCCAGTTGTCCGTCGAAGTCCCTGGAGGACGCCTGGAGGCCAATCTCCACTCGGCCAGTCTAAAATTGCAAAGGAAGTCAGCCACCGCAGGGAGTTGCTCACTGGGAGTTGAAGCTTCGCCATCGCTGGAATCCGTAGCTGAAACCGTTGTTGCCAGAGAGAGCTTGTCGCTCTCTACCACTGAACGCTAGTCGCCGTCTGCCTGAAACTCTTCGCCGGAGATAACTCGCCGTCCATCACCACCAGAGCTCGTCGCCGGAAAGTCG